TAGTCTTAAACTCGTCGTTATTTGTGGCATAATCTTTGCATTGATGGAAACGAGCTCAGCAGTTGGACCGCTGCAAAATGTGTACTGTAGGAGTGATTACAACGTCGCAGGTGGTGTTGCAGGTAAGTATTTCCCTCCATTTCTACTGATTCCAACTCTTTCCTGACTGTCTCTTGCCTTCACACAGTTTGTGACACGTTATATTGCCCTACTTTAAGCAAATGTACTGGGACTAGTGAGTTATTCCACATCCTCCTAGACTGTAGTCTACAACACCCATATGCTCTACACTCAATTGTTCTGTGAATGCGACGTGCCAGAGGGGGCCAATTATGTCCAGATGCACGACTGTTCTTTTCCTGACGAACTCGGCGCTCTGCGCAAGGTGGGTACAAAAAATTGTTATCAATATAACACACTTCCCGGCCAATTCAGTACGTGTTTTTCTTTGACTTTCACTTGTCCTTGATCATCCACATTGATCGTGCCCTTTGTTTGAATGTATCACCTACTGTCTTCATTGTATGGCTATATATACTGTTAGCTTGCGAGGACGAAAGGGGTAAAATCTTTTACTGCCCCCATGCCAAACAGCCTCACATCTGTATGTCACATATTTTTCTTATCATGAAGTAGGTGGCGAATCTCATGTACCTTTTTCTCATTTAACCCAACAGACTGTAGGGATTGTTACAAGCCGTAGATATGCTTGTCAACCAAATAAGTCAAAATTGTACATGTATGATCTTGCTCAGATGGTGTAACTTTCATCTTGACCAGTATCTATACATGATTCAGTGCTTTGAGAATTTACTCTAGTGACTTCTGGACTTTGAGAATTTCTCAAAGCCGTATGCTGTAAATATCTTAATCTCACGCTAATACTCTGGATGCTGCAAGTAAAAGTCAATATGATTTGAGATGGATGACGACAGACGCTGTTGAACTTCTGCACTACCTTTCGAAAACTATATGACCCTTTCTGAGACGCTGTCTGAAGCCATGAAAACCAAATTTTGCAGAAGTCAACTTGAGTGTCAAAAAGCCAGACAAAGGCTCGATCAGCGTGAATTGGCATTTGCCAAAACTGTTGCAGACTTCCTGGTAGCATCCTGAGACCGAGTTTGGCTTTTGTTTTGCTCTCCCTGGATGTGAACTTCACCTCATCCACCTTAAGTGCGTGGGTGAGTATTGGTGCACACTTGGTTAATTCTTGTCAGGGGATAACTTTGTGTATAATGCCTGATCTCACCGATGTTTGGAGTGCAGACCGTCTTCAAATTCAATGAAACCCATTGTAACAAACCATATATCAATGAAAGCACCAAACTCCAATCATCTTACTCTTCTTCTCAATTCAATGAACGGTGAATAATCGTATTTGATTATCTGATAAACACAACCAGCCAAAATCATAGAAAACACACACACACACACAAAAACTACATTTTTCCACTTATACTTTTTCATTTCTCACTTTTTACGTTGTTCTTTAATCGTTAATCCAATCAGATCTCCATTCTTCAAATTTAAAGAAGCCAAAGTCACTTGATTAGCTAAAATCTTACTTCCTAACCTCAATTGTTGTCGACCCACTGGAATCCCTTTCAAATTCTATCCAACACAAACCAAAAAAGATAATCATCATGTCAAATTTATCTTATAATCAAACCAAACCGAAATCAAACTTACCGAAAGCTTATCTCTCAATACTCCGACTAATAAAGTGATTGGAATCTCTTCCAAACTGATCTCACTTCCATCACATCCCCATTCAGGTTTGTCTTCATAAACTGGTAATTTGATCAAGATTTGAATCGGATCAGGATGCATCTCTATCCATTGTTCCTCAGTGAACAATTGTGGAGTGACAGCTACCACTGGAGCTTCTTCTCCTACTTTCACTCGTTTCGCACCTGGTTGACCTTCCATTCCATTCTCATCTTCTGCTGGACGAGTTTGTCCTGCACCACTACTACTTCCTGTAATACTATCAATGACCATCTGGGCGGTCATAGGAGTCAATTGTCCTGGTGCCACTGTGGCACCTACACTTACACCACCCGGAGGAGGAGGTCCAGGCATGCCGGCCCCAAAGTCTGGTACGTTGGGTCGACCAGGTAAGCCAGGAGGTGCGAGAGTCGAAAACCCACCAGGAGCTAAAGGTGGTAAACCGTTGGCTGGCTGAGCTGGATTAGGCGATAGACCAGAACCGGGGTTTGCTCCAGCCATCACGCCATTCGGATCATCGGTTGGGTTAGGTGGGGGTGCCATACCAGCTGCAAGCGAAGATGGCATGGGACTCACTCCCTGTGGGGGTACACTGAGGTTCATCATCGGGGGTGGCATCGAGCCAGACATCATAGCCGCTCGACCAGGATCAATAAGAGGAGGTCGCGCGGAGAGAGGTTGAGGTGCAGCAGATAAAGTAGCACCACCGCCAAAGGATGGTTGTTGATGTACGGTCATATTAGGTGGTATCGGCTCGCCTGATGCTGTGAGACCGCTGGTGATGTTTTGAATATGCTGCTGAATCTGTTGCTGTTGAAGTTGAAGTTGTTGGTGCTGTTGAAGTAAGGTCGGATTCGGCTGTGGTGGTGGTTGAATAGGCATAGCACCTGGGAGCGGTCCAATTTGTGGTCCAGAATGAATCGATTCGCCTGTAAGACCTTTCGAACGATGGAGAGCTTGAATCTGTTCATCAAGATTGGCTCCAGTTTGATAGATATTTGTAATTCGTTCGCCAGTATTGATATGACCATCCCATGTATATTTCTCTTTGGCCAATTGTTTGAGTTTCTTTTGTTCAGCTTCTCGTCTCAGCTTCTCTTCTTCTGTTACATTCTCTTCAAAGATATCTAATCTAGATTTGGCCAAATCACGCAAAGATGAAGATACATCCGAGCCCAGTGTTAACATATTTGACGAACTTCGATTCAACTCAGTCGTCTGTTTCTTTTCCTTCCATCGAGGATCTAATAGCTCAATTCGCACATGCTCTGAAATCTCGTTGACATTGATTTGTTGACCACAAATTTGACAGAGAGTCGTAATCACCTTGGCATTTTGCGCTTGCTGTTGTGCGGTCTGAAGTTGTTTGTTTTTCGGCACGTAGTCTTTTCGAATCTTCATCCCAGTCGTATTCAACTTTTTGATTTCTGCAAGCTGCTTGGTCTCTGTCTGATTATCATCTTCAGCATCTCGTTGTGAATCGTCCTGTTCCTCAGCGGCTGCTTTAGCTTTAGCTTCTTCAGCTGACCGTTTCGCATCTTCCAACATTTCATTTGCCTCTTGATCATGACGTAAGTTTGTTGCATCTAATTGCTCTTCATCGATCGTGCTCATGTCTTTTCCTTCCATGACCATCGCAGCCATCTTCTTTTGAGCGATCGTCATGTTCTCCACCTCACTGATACTCATCGGTGGCGGTAAGTCGATCACCTCATCATTCTCAGTAAACTCCACCGTACTGACCACAATGAAATCTTCCCAATCAATCTCATTGAATTCTTTCTTTTCCTTCTCTTCCTCGGTCGTTTTTTTCTTCAATTCGAGACCTTTGTAACGTTCCCATTTGATTCGACTCTCAACTTCTGTCATCACTTCTCTTTTACCAATGATGGTACGTTCTTTCTGAGCTTGAGCAGCCTTTACAACGTCCAACCTTTTTCGATCAATGGCTTTTCCTCCGGCCAGGCGCTCGAGTCTTTCCAAGGTATCAGGGGTCGGAATCAGCACTTTAGTATACTGTTCTACGAGTCGATTAAAGAAGCCAAATAGCGAATGAGCAGGTCTCAAGAAATCAAATTGATAATTTCGACTTTCACGGCTGCTGAGGTCAGAAACAAATTTGCGACCAAGTCGAGCGGTGAAGAGTGCAGTAAGTTTGATAATTTCAAGATCTACTGAGTTAATCTTGGGCATTTGATCAGGTTCTATCAAGAAGAGCAAGGGTGCTGGTTCGGGTGGTTTGTCTGGATCCGCATCAGTTGTCACAGGTGCGGCTGAAGAGCTACTGATGGTGTTGTTGGGTGCTGTCGAGCTTTGAACCTCACCATTCTTGATACTTTGAATCTGATGTCGATAGTAGGCGTTATAGGCGTCATCAGGGCTTAGGAAAGAGAATCGAGAATCAGTCTTCTCTCGTTGACGAATTTTATCTTCAACTAATATTCAGAAACAAAAAGATCGCTATTAATTTCAATTTATCTGAGCAAAAGCTTCAAACTTTTAGATAGATTAAGAGCTTCAACCTACAGAGTTGTGGGTTAGGATTTTTGGCGATAAATGCTGCTGTCTTATCAACAATAGCTATTCAAGGATTCAATCCGAAGAGATAATGATCGTTAGTAGGATGTTTAGACGAGTAAAAGTATTCGATTGAATTTGACTGACTTCTAATCTCAGGTGGTGGATAAATGAGTCCTTCAACATATTTTTGCGAATCAATGAGTTCATTTGATTCTTTTTCCTGATTTTGATCTTGATTTGGTTCTTCAGTTTCAATTTCCATTGAATTAGAGGGTTCTACTGGATTGTTGACGTCGAGATTTGAGTCGGGATGAGAGGTAACATTTTGATTTGATCCAGATGGGTTTTCATGAGTATTCTGATTAAGATTATCATCAGTCATGTTGATATTTCGTTGATGATGACTTGAATGATGTTATATTAGTTGTTGTAGTTGAACTTGCTTGGAGTTGTTCAATTCTTAGGCAAACTTCGATCAGCTTGATTACCCTCAGTCCTTGCCCGAAACCGTTCTCTGACATCCATATTAACTCAAAATTTAGTCATTAAAATCACACCCCCCTCAAATTCTTTAGCCTGTATGCGTGCATGACAAAACCTGTCCACAAACTTCTGACTTTCATCAGATCTGATTCCAGCTATCTATGACACAACTCCATCTTGGAAACACCTCGTGTTCATCACCAATTCCATAGTAGTGGAGACCCTTTGGATGTTACTTATATTAAGTCCACTCACCACCCAATATCGTCTCCGTGGCGCAATTGGTTAGCGCGTCTGACTGTTACGCAGTGTCATCAGGAGGTTGGCAGTTCAAGCCTGCCCGGGGACGAACTTTTTTGACGCCTGTGAGTCATCTTATTTAGCTTCGATCCCGTAAGTTGACCATTCGTGCAAGGATTGCATCAGCTTTGTTATGGACCGCACAGCACAACAATTGGTTCATTAATCTGAGCCAAGAAAAGAGATTGATTACTGATCTAATTTGATCTCTCGACAAAAAAACAACAGAAAAGCAACGTCCATGTGTAGTGACTAGTCGAAGCATTTAACTCCTATGTCTGTTCACAAATGAGAACCGAATTAAATGAATCAACTGGAAGGGAAAGAGAACAACAAATTAAACACATGCACAAAAAGAGAAAGAAAAGTAAGAAGGAACAAAGCAGAAGATATCCATAGAGACCAAAATACACATTAAATTGAAAAAGAAAGGAAATGTATACAAGATATATTTAAGAACACTTACGAAAAAGGATTAAGTCAAGTTTTCAAATTTGTAAATCGAAGAAAAAGAAAAGATAAGTTTGAACGGAGAATATATATGAAAAGATTAAATCTAATTATAGTTTCAAAATTAGAAACAACTAAAAACTGAAGAAAGGTAGATTGGATTATCTTGGTTGATTATTTAAACCGTGTTTTTGTGAGTGTGTAGGTGGTAGAGCATAATGTCCATAAGATTCTCTTCTTGTTATCCCAAATCCTTCTTTGTCCAAATCAAGTGGTGGTGAATTCATATCTAGATGACCATTACTTCGGAGTGGATAGCAGACTACTGATTGAGGATCATCAAAGGCCGTTGGACAAAAACTTCCTCTATCGAGAAAATGATTTGAAATACGGTTTTCGTAATGTTGATTCGCTAATGCTGAGGGTAGGGTATGAATCGGTGGAGGTCGAGTAAGGCTTGATGATGTAAAGAAATGCAAAGATCAGTATCATGATGAAAATAGATATCTAGGAGAGATGTACAAACCTTGTTCTGATCTTATCTCGATATTTTTTCTCCATTTGAATCGTATCCAATTGTCTTTTTTGTTGTTTTCTTTTGGTTTGACCAAGATGTAATTCAGGTTTACCTAAAAAAGGTTTTAAACCTGACCAATCAAATAATTTTGATCTTGACTTTGATTTTGAATGATCATCTTCAAATTCAGATGAGAGTGTTTTCTTTAATTTGATTTCATCTTTTGAAGATAGCCTTTCAGATCCTTTTACTTGGTTTTCTCTTTTGACTTTTAATCCTTCTTCACCCCAAAATGCTTCATGTGTGATCGGATTTTGATTTTTTGATTTTTTATGTTTATGTCGAAAACAACAACCGATGGCAAAGATCAAAGCAAATACACATAATAAGATTCCTACGATCCAACCTACATTCTCAGCTTTCGTTTGTCTTAGTTGTTCTTCTTTTGAACTAATTTCAGAAGTTTTATTACCACTTCGAGTTGCTACAATCACTGGTCTCTCAGTTCCTTGATCAGATGGTAATGGTACAGTCTCAAGAATTGAGTTTGGTTTTGAGATATTACTAGAAAAGAAATTTGTAGGAACGGATGTGATATTTTTTTGAAAGACCACGTTAGGACTGCTGCTCGTTGTGATTGGTGATGTGCTATTCTGGGTGAGGCTCGCGGAGAGGGGAAGCGAAGATGAGGGTGGGGTGGGTGTCACTTGAGTGCGATTTGGGGCCTGACGAGCTAGAAGTCTCGAACGACGTTGGCTTGGCTGTCTGGGACGGCTTAGGCTTCTTTTTCGGCTACGTTGAACTGGAGGAAGTGAAGCAAGTCCATCGAGAGTGCCGTCGAGAGTAGGTCTAGCGCGACGATTTGATTGATGAAGTGAGTTCATCTTTTTGGTAGGTGGTTCTGATGATTCGAAAGGCCCGGTAGTTAGAGAGCGTTGAAAGCAAAGTGATTGGCTTTGGCACCTTCCGTACAATAATTCCCAAAGAACGACTGGGCGGTAGGAAATGGCTCGATGGCGGGCTGTGCGAGAAAGCTTATATATATATATATATCTATAAAAATATTTATGGACAAGTCCTTTCACGATAACGACAAAAAGATGATGATTCTTCACTGATGAGTATGAAATGATATTTTGAATGATCGTTGGACGAGAACTGCAATACGAAAGGAAAATTCAGCAAGAATCTCATGGAAAAAAGCTAGTCAACGCGAGATTTCAACTGGAAAGTCACCTGAGTTTTTTAAGTAACAAAGCTAAAGATATATCGACAAGGAATCTACACGAAGAGATACTATGAAGTAAGAAACAAATTGAAAAGGCTTATGTAGTTATGAAGAAACTATACACTCATGAACTCGATTCAAGTAAGAGGAAATTTTTTGAACAGCCAGCGGTGGGGATAGGGTGATTGATAAGATCAATTCAAGATAGCAGTGGTTGAACCCTCGTAGGTGACCAGATGCTACGCAAAATTGCCAAAACGTGGAGAAATAACGCCACGAAAGCCCAGTCAAGTGGATGTGAAGCAACCCGGATCAAGGTGTTACCGTAAGGGTCTGAATCCAAGTCTGACTCGCCTCCGTCTATGAGCTCTGAATAGCACGATTGACTTAAGGGATGAGCTATATGGTGGTTCAGAGGTGATTAGAAGATCTCCTCACGAGGTAATTAACTTCTTTCCTTTCCTTTTTATTGCTCAAAAAGGAGGGTCAACCTGATCTACATCCTTAAAATTTCGTGTTTTATTTACAAAGATTCCGCGTGGCGCTCTTCGCATGAATCAGCAGCTAACATTCCTCAACACTCCTGATCTGTACGCTTCTCGCGTCTCCTCTTATCTCATCCTTAGCTATGGTAACGAAGTCAAAAACGAAGTTAAGCATGTATGTATGTACGTGATAAGATGCGTGGATGGCTCCAGAAAGCAGTCTGGACTCTGGTGATATATACACCGGGGAGGTCATCCGATCACATTGCGACATGTGAGACATGCGTTGATCAGAGTCAAGGAGTGCATACACATCCGCAGTGAACCCGGCGTGTGTAAAGGGAGGATCATGGTTTACGAGTACAGTACAGTCAATTCCCTCGAAACCCATGCCTCTTTATGGAAACTCACAACATCTATGGGTTTTATGGGCATATGGTTCTAGAGGATCTCCCTCATAATCTATAGATTGGGGTTTAACAGGAAAAGTATAGGTCAAGAGGGAGATTTTTTAGAGAGTTGTTCAAAATATTCATTTCTCTAAATTGTTGTGTACAACAGTGGTAATGATATTGAAGATTACTGTAGTTAATTCTTATTAAAGAAGTCAGATACTGAAGCCTGCTTTAAAGAGCGTGTATGAACCAAGCAAATATGTCTGGTAGTAGCACAAATGGAAGCTTCAAAAGACTTTGCTTTGAATGTATCTTCATGCTTAACATACTTGGAAACAACAGAAAGAGATTGGTTAAAGGCTGAGTAGCTCAGGAGAGGAGGGGGAACCTCTATGATTTCTCTTGTGGTATTGTGATCTGCTTTAGTGTCTTGTTGATTGATTGATTCAAACATTTCCTCTGCAGTCCGTTGCTCTAATCCACTAGAGTGCTCTCCATGAGGATTGAGAAGCTCAGCAATCAACATCTGTGTCTGTTGATTGACAAGGTTTAGCTGTTTAAGCTGGTCAAGACCTTCAGCCAACACAGCCCGGGCTTCAGGATCCAAGACCTTTGGAAGGTTTGTATCAGAGTCTGATTGGAGGCAAGTAGGATTGGCCTTTACTGATCCATCAAGATTTTGAGGTGAGATGATCCCAGTCTTAGGGAAGCAATTTGATGTTTCACTTAAAATAGTAATTTGAGTTGAGAAAGTTTGGCTTACAACCTGACCAGTTCATTGTCTGTGATCCTACCATAAGACTCTCATTTCAAGTCTATATTCTAGATTCTATTTGGGTGTTGATCACCTCACTAACACCATTTTTTAAATTTGTAACATAGGTATACTTATATATATATATAAACCTTTGTAGCTCCTAAGTAACCATTAGGACTCTTGTCAGGGTCATCTAAAAATCCTTGCATTGTTAGAACTCATTAATAAGTGCCACCCTGACAGTCTCCTGGAAAAAACCTATGGGTTCTGGGAATAGTGTGAGGTATGGGTTTAAGGCCACTTTTCCCTGCCCATAAATTTTATGGACCCAAATTTCTATGGATTATCAGGAAGTATGGGATTACAGGGATATGGGTTTTGAGGGAGTCAACTGTATGTGTGTGTGGGTTACAGTAGTGTTGTTACATGTAGGGGTTTATAGAAGTCCATGTTCTCCTCCCTTCCCTAGTCTCTCTTCTTCCTTGAGGACCTCTTCATTCCACATTTTCTCTTAGTAGTTTTTTGATTGATTGTTCTTTGGTCCAGGTTTTTAGGGAATCTATCTTGGTGATTGTTCAGTTTGGCTATGGTCATCAAGAATACCAGTTCCCAGTGAAGGTCATGATACTCACAACCTTACAGCATGACTGTGGTTGCGTGTGCACACTGTGACACTGATCAACATGTTCCTCACATATCGGTCTGTGACTAATTTTCCCCCAGTGTCATCTACAACAGTATTTAAAAGTGTGTGGTGCTCAATAGTGAAGAAATCTGCTCTGATCCTCTTGGCTTAACAAAGCCCTTGGAGCACCCACTATATACGGTAGAAGAGGTGTTTTATTGTAATTTTTGCGGTCCCAAACACAAAATATAATTATGTGCAGGTTAACTCACCAGAATAGTTAAATATTTAGGGTGCCCAAAACTAGTACAGTTGGCTTCATCAAAGCCCAACTACTGTGTGCCTGCAAAGCACAATTTCAACTTTGAGCTGAATCATACACATCTCCCAATGTACAGTACCATTCAAGTGGTTTTTGTAATCACTCAGTTCTGTAGCGGTACAAGGGATTTCTTTATAGGCAGATTTTAGTGGAAATGCTTAAGGGGGATCTCAGTGTTGGATGTTGGTTCAAACCAGAAGGTTACAAATGCTAGACATGGGGACGTGTACATATGACACATATTTAAATGCCCAATGGACTCAGGGGAGC